TCGCAAAAATACATACAATACTACACACGCTCAATCACAGACACACACACAAAACACTTATCAGTATATATCAGTGCTTCAACAACTAAGGTTCTTTTCGACTATAATCTAAATAGACTCGCTTAATAAACAACTATACACTAATTATAGAGGGTAATTAATATTATATTATAGAGAAATATTATACTTCAGCAACTCTAAGGACATTATAGTTATTATTTTATATTATCTTATTACTATATATATTAATACTTATAGTTATTACGATCATGTCATTGTTATTCACCAGTTTACTCATATATATTCAATAAGTCTTTTCATCTAGTATAATTAGTGTATATTAAATGATAATAGGTAACGCTCTGATTGGTCACTTGCGTGTGTGTGTGTGTGTGTGTGTGTGTGTGTGTGTGTGTGTGTGTGTGTGTGTGTGTGTGTGTGTGTGTGTGTGTGTGTGTGTGTGTGTGTGTGTGTGTGTGTGTGTGTGTGTGTGTGTGTGTGTGTGTGTGTGTTCGTCAGGTATAACCACGACTAACACCTATTGACACAAGTCAGGACGGAGGCCAAGTTTCATTACCCACCTCTTTACTGTACACCCCTAGCTTGGGTAAGTCCCGTTTATACTCTTCCTAATTAGTATTGACAACGACAGGTGTTCAGTATATCACCTGTGTGTGTTACTACAGTTGGGTTTATTGTTTTAAGTTTATCTGGTGTTTTAATGTTTTTTGTGTTTTTTTCTGTTTTTATTGTGAATATTTTGGGTTTTATTCGTGTTTTAATCGTGTTCTTTGTGTATTTCGTGGGGTTTTTTTCGCGGTTTATTGGTGAATATGTTCTGTGTTGAGTGTTTTTTGGTGTGTTTTAGTTGTGTTTTATTTTATCTCTGTGTACGGTGTGTTTTATTATTCATATGGTTAGAGATATATAGTGTTTTTCGTGTTTTAGTTTTAATAGTGTTTTATTTGTGTGTCTTTGGCGCTGTCTGTCGTATGGGTAAGTGTTTTTTTTTAGAATAGGGTTTTATTGCTGTATGTGTCGTTTTATTGTCAATGGCGAGTGTTCACATACTGTACACACATCAATGATTTTATTTCTTACACATTTCAATTAGCTTGCCGCCGTAAAGTCTTGTTTTCCTAGTCTGCCCAGTGACTGACCGGTCGTGTCGTCGTCAAGTACTGCCTCCCATCACCACCCCACTATCCCCCTCCACCCCATTCTTACGTGGTGTGTGTGTGTAGAGAGGGATAAATCTCTTATAATCAGTAAGTTGTGTGCATGACCTAAACCTGTATGTGACTTTTACCGGCAAACATTTATTATTATTATTTTTTTTTTATAGACTTTTTTGTGGGTATTTTTTGAGTGTCTGGCTTTGGATGGGAAAGGAGATGGAGAAGGGAAGGAGATGGAGAAGGGAAGGAGAGGGAGAAGGGAAGGAGAGAGAGAAGGGAAGGAGAGGGAGAAGGGAAGGAGAGGGAGAAGGGAAGGAGAGGAGAAAGGGAAGGAGGAGAAGGAAAGGAGAGAGGGAGAAGGGAAGGAGAGGGAGAAGGGAAGGAGAGGGAGAAGGGAAGGAGAGGGAGAAGGGAAGGAGAGGGAGAAGGGAAGGAGAGGGAAAGGGGAGTGGTTAGAAAGGTTCGCCACTATAGTATCTATAGAAATCTCTAGTCATCAGGAAATTCCATTGCATATTCTTTGATATAATAAATTATCCCCGGTAGTGAAGTTATCAAGAGAGTCGAGAAAGAGAGAAAGTGTGAAAAGAGATAAAGGAGAGAGTAAGGAGGAGAAGGTGATAGGAGGGAGAGAAAGGAAATAGTGTGAAAGGAGATAAAAAAATAACGAGAGAGTGAAGAGGTGAAGAGGGCGAAAGGGGGGAAAGAGACAGAGAGATAAATATGTATTAGGCGAAAGAAAGGAAGACATACCGAAGGAGAGAAAAAAAAAGACTAAAAAGAAAGAGTGAGTGGGAGAGAGAGAGAGACATAGCTCACTCAAACACTACATCACCGTAATTAACTTGGTAATTACTTAAAACACCATTAATAAACTGTTTGATGACTTATTTACCCACTACCTGCAGAACTACTTAATTGTGTACAAGGGTCCATTTATACAGGTGAAATTTTAGTGCTCCTAATTTAACAATGGTGTGAGGAGGTGCCACGGTGTGGTGGAGAGCTACACGTTGTGAGGGGTGAGGGGAGGAGTGTGAGGGCCTGGGTGGGGAGGCGCTGCAGTGTGGCGAGGGGGCTACAGTTGTGAGGGGAGGAGCTGCAGTGTGGGGAGGAGCTATGGTGTGAGGTGAGGGAGGCTACAGTGCAGGGAGGGCTGGTGTGAGGAGCTGGTGTGAGGAGGAGCTACGTGGGGAGGGCTGTGAGGGAGGAGCTACAGTGTGAGGGGGAGGAGCTGCAGTGGTGTGGGAGGAGCTACGGTGTGGGGGAGGGCTACGGTACGAGGGAGGCAGCTGCAGTGGGAGGCCTCACGGTGTGAGGGGAGGCACAGTGTGAGGAGGGAGCTGGTGTGAGGGGAGGAGCTCTGGTCTGAGGAGCTGGCTGGTACAGGGAGGGCCTGCAGTGTGAGGAGGGCTGGTGTGGGGAGGGCTACAGTGTGAGGGGGAGGGCTGCAGTGCTGGGGAGGCTGCGGTGTGGGGAGGGCTGGTGTGGGGAGGAGTTATGGGTGTGGGGAGGCAGCTCTGGTACCCCGGTGTGGTGAGGCTAGGTGTGAGGAGGAGCTACTGTGTGAGGAGGCTACAGTGTGAGGGAGGAGCTACAGTGTGGAGGAGGAGCTACAGTGTGAGGAGCTACGGTGTGAGGAGGCTCTGGCGTGGGGAGCCTGTGTTGGGAGGAGCTGGTGAGGAGGGCTGCAGTATGGGGAGGCAGCTGCAGTGAGGGCTACAGTGTGAGGAGGAGCTGGTGTGGGGAGGAGCTGTGAGGGCTGGTGTGGGGGGGAGACTCTGATGTGGAGGCTAGTGTGAGGGAGGCTGGTGTGAGGGAGGCTACAGTGCTGAGGAGGAGACTCGGTGTGAGGAGGAGCTATGGTGTGAGGGGAGGAGCTGGTGTGGGAGGCTGGTGTGAGGAGGCTGGTGTGAGGAGCTGCGGTGTGGGGGTGGAACTGCGGTGCGGTGTGGGGAGGCTGGTGTGGGAGGCTGGTGTGGGAGGAGCTGGGTGTGAGGGCTGGTGGGAGGCTGTGAGGGAGGAGCTGCAGTGTGGGAGGGCTGCAGTGTGGGAGGGCTGGGAGCTGGTGGGGAGGAGCTACTGTGTTAGGGGCTGGTGTGAGGCTAGCTACGGTGAGGCTGCAGGTGAGGCTGTGTGGGAGGAGCTGCAGTGTGAGGGAGGAGCAGTGGGAGGCGGTGAGGCTGCAGGAGCTACAGTGTGGGAGGCTACGGTGTGAGGGAGCTACAGTGTGTGGGGAGGAGTGTGGTGTGAGGGGAGCTGCAGTGTGAGGAGGCTGTGAGGGAGGTACGGTGAGGGAGGAGCTACTGTGTGAGGGGAGGAGCTGGTGTGGGGGGAGGAGCTACGGTGTGAGGGGAGGAGCTACGGTGTGGGGGAGGGAGGGTGTGAGCTACGGTGTGAGGGGAGGAGCTACGGCGTGGAGGGAGGAGCTACTTACTAGGGGAGGAGCCACAGGAGGGGAGGAGCTACTGCATGAGGGAGGCAGCCACGGTACGAGGGGAGAGCCATGGTGTGTGTGAGGGAGGAGCTACTGTGTGAGGGGAGTGAGCCACAGGTGAGGGAGGAGCTACAGTATGAGGGGAGACACGGTGGGAGGAGGGGCTACAGTGTGAGGGAGGAGCTACAGTGTGAGGGGAGGAGCACAGGCAGTGGGAGGAGCTATGGTGTGAGGGAGGAGCATGGTGTGTGAGGGGAGGAGCTATGTGAGGGGAGGAGCTACAGGTGAGGGAGGAGCATGGTGTGGAGGAGGAGCCACGGTGTGAGGGAAAGGAGCTACGGTGTGAGGGAGGAGCTACGGTGTGAGGGAGGAGCTACGGTGTGAGGGAGGAGCTACGGTGTGAGGGAGGAGTTATGGTGTGAGGGAGGAGCTACGGTGTGAGGGAGGAGCTACGGTGTGAGGGAGGAGCTACGGTGCGAGGGAGGAGCTGCCCATTTATTTGGTCCACACACACATTATTATAACAATTTTTGACCTTAGATAAAAAAAATAACTTTTATCGCTATTGTATATTGGGATCACCTGAAGAACAACCACCCCAGCTTATATCACCTGAAGATTAACCACCCTGACACTTATTTGTGGGGGGTGGGGCGAGGTTAAGCTAGGTTAGGTTAGTTTAGCGATATGTTAGGTTAGCGTTATGTTAGGTTAGGATTATATTAGGTTAGCGTTAAGATAGGGTGGAGATTCTTTAGTTGATCCGTATAATGTATTAGTTTATTAATGTTATACAACTAAATTCATACATCCAATACAAATAAGGTTATGTTAAGGTATAAATTTAATGTATTCATACACGGATTACGGAGTATAGTGTTGATGGTATTTGTCCTTTACTTGGGAATTACTGTACCTGTGCTTTTTATACGAGTATATACCTGTAGGTTTACCTGTAATTAGCATTTCTGATCTTCTTACCTGGTGTTGATGTTGTGGAATGGTGGTACGACACTTCCGCTATGATATAATCTGTTGATAGTATAGCCTGTGTTGGGTCTCTCTCTCTCTCTCTCTCTCTCTCTCTCTCTCTCTCTCTCATAATTAATCTAACTTGCCCATCCATCCGTCGATCCATCCAGTGCTCAGGTCAACAGTCACACCGACGCGGGGAAGGTGTGGTAGGGCGGGTTAGGTTAGTTAAAGTCAGGTTAGGTCAAGTCAGATCAGATCAGGTTAGGTCAGGTCAAGTCAGATCAGGTCAGGTTAGGTCAAGTCACATCAGGTCAGGTTAGGTCAAGTCACATCAGGCTCAGGTTAGGTCAAGTCACATCAGGTCAGGTTAAGTTAGGTTAGTTCCACCCACCCACCCATCCAGTACTCACGTCAACAGTCACACCGACGCGGGGGAAGATGTGGTAGGGCGGGGAGTCTCGGGGGACGTATCTGAAGAACTCCTCGTCGTCCTTGAACCACTTGACGGAGTAGATGGAGGAGTTGCCCGCCTCGTAGTCACACCGCAGCTCCACCGTGTCCCCCCGCAGCTTGTAGGGCGGGATCACCGACTCCCGCAGCCGCAGTCCCTCGCACACCACTGCAATAAGGAGGACGATGGATAGATAGATAGACTGATTGATGGTTGGATTGATGATAGATAGATAGGCATTACCTTCGAGGTGGATAATCGTTCTCCCTTAATGTTTATATAACCAAAAACTGCGTTCCATTTTTTCCACACAGACCAAAAAAAAAAAAAAACAGTAAGGGTTTTGAGGCTAGACTCCCATACAAGACATCTTCAGGTCTTCCTCACAACAGACCTGGCCTAACCTAAACGTCTCCTGGTCTCACTCCTCCCTCACACCAGATCTCAGCACAATGTTAAGACTCTCTTCTCATACATTATATTCAGTCTTGCTTCTTATAAGTATACAGACGCAAACGTATACATTTTTATACATGTTAAGAGTATAACACCCATACGTCTTTGCGTGCTGTAGTAGAGAAACATGAATACACAATAATACCTGTATGTATGATTATTAGAGGATGTTTTTTATTGGTTTGCCTATAATACGTATACATACATACATACCAAATTATAAACGTGACACATAAGCATTACCACTCATACAGCGTTATAATTGTATGGAATTTAGATTTAATAAGGCTAGTGGTAATACACATTTCATATTACAGTATAATACAGTCCTGGTTGATGTTTATTAGTCAAATACAACTGTAGTGGTCTTTTGAAACTTGATCTAATTGGTATTATGTAATATTTATCGGGTGTGGGAGTGTGTGGGTTGGTGTGTGGCGGTGTGGGAGGATGTGGGTTAGTATGGGTTGAAGTGGGAGACTGTGGGATGGTGTGGGAGAGAGTGAGTTGGTGTGGGAGGATGCGGGACGGTGAGAGTGTAAGTGCTGGGAGGAGTGGCTGGGGGAGGATGACGGGTGGGGCGCTGTGGGAGAGAGTGGGTTGGTGTGGGAGAGAGTGTGGACGATGGGAAGAGAGGGCGGTGGGGAAAGAGAGGGGCGGTGGGTGCTGAGAGAGAGAGGGCGTGGGAGAGAGTGGACGATGGGGAGAGAGGAGTTGGTGGGGAGGATGCGGGACGCAGGGGGAGAGGAGTAAGGGGGGAAGTGGGGGAGAGAGAGGGGCGGTGGGGAGAGAGGAGTTGGTGTGGAGGGTGCGGGACGGTGTGGGAGAGAGTGGGGCGGTGTGGGGTGCTGTGGGAGAGAGAGGGGCGGTGTGGGAGGATGTGGGTTGATATGAGGCGGTGTAGGAGAGTGCGGGGCGGTGTGGATTGATGTCGGGCGGTGTGGATTGGTGTGGGAGAGTGTTGGTTGGTGTGGGGCGGTGTGGGTTAATGTGGAAGAGTGTGGGTAAGGGGGTGGGAAGGTCTGTAGTCAGGCTCTTCCCCTAATTCGTTGATCAGATTGGAACAGTCGACCCACCAGAGCACATTAAACATACTGCACAGCTGCCACAGGTGAAGCTGACGGTGCTGGTAGTACAACAGCAGCAGCCATGCCACGACTATTACCACCACCACCACCACTGCTATTAACACCACCACAACTAGGTGTAGTGGTGGAGGTGTTAGCTTATTTGTTCCGGTTTGTTGGCTCGTTAGAGGAGCAGGAGGGGGAAGAAGAGAGGGAGTCGTAGGAGGAAGAAGAGGGGGGGGTCGTAGAAGGAGGAGGAAGGATAGGATGATGAGGTCGGTGAGAGATTGAAAAACTGTGGAGCAGAGGTCGGGGAAGGATCGTCTTAGGGATGGGATAAGTCGGGCATGATCATGGCGAGTTCAGATAGCGGTCGGTGAAAGTCTGGAAGTTCGGATGTAGGTTGGAAAATGTCGGGTAAGTTCAGATAGGGGTCGGAGAAGGTCGGAAGTTCGGATAAGGTCGGATATTGGTTAAGGTCGGGGAAAAGCAGAGAGGAGTCAAGTCGGGAGGAAGGGGAGGAGGAGAGTTATTGAGGAAGAAGGTCGGGACCCAGGCGGAGAGAAGTCGGGGACAATTATGAGTCGGTTTGGAGTCGGGAGGAGGTCGGCAACAGCAAAGAATCGGGGAAATGGCGGTGCGAGCCAGAGATCGGGTGAGGGTAAGAGGTCGGATAAAAAGGTCGGTTGGAGGAGGAGGCGGGGATGTAAACAGAGGGCGCTACCAGAACAAGCCTTGAGATATTACATACATTATGGAAGACTCCACTCCATCTCCTCCCTTCACCTCCTCCTCCTTCACCTCCCCCACCTTGTCCCTCCCCACCTTCCTCCCCTCCACCTCCAGGTGTTCTCAGGACTCTGTTGCCCGGAAACCGTCAGCAAAATACTACGAGAAGAGATAAAAAAATGAAGTTATAAAACGAACTGAAAATTGGCAACAAAAAGAAAAAAACGAAATGGCAAAATATACGAAACTTGACAAAAAATAAAATAAAAAAAAATGGCAAACGATATAAAAACTGATTCTTTTGCCCCAAAAAAAAAAAAAATATATATATATATATATATATATATATATATATATATATATATATATATATATATATATATATATATATATATATATATATATATATATATATATATATATATATATATATATATATATATATATATATATATTAAGGGAAAATATATGACAAATTCCGTTCAGGCCCAAACTCCCACTCAAAAATAAATCGTGTTCTTGAAAGCCAATGATAAGTCGAATTATTTATTTTTTTCCTTTTGCTTTTAATGTCACGTCACGATTGTTTGACACCCCCCTTATGTTGGTTAATAGAAGATGGGAGTTGAGGGTAGATGATAGTAAGGTACAGTAGTGTTAGAGGGTGAAATGTCAGTAGGTTTTTGTTGTTGTTAACAGTTTTAGTGTATGTGTGTATTTCCTCCCTCCCTCCTTCTCTCCTTTCCTTTCTTCCTTCTTTCCCTCCCTCCCTCTTCCTCCCTCCCTCTCTCATCGCTTTCTCCTCAGTCCCTCCCTCCCTCCCTCCATTAATACAGATTCACAATAGCTTAGTGTCCTCGTATATTTCACTTAAGTCAACGACCATCAATGTTAACCTTATTACAGGTACATATTTGGGTGTTAGCCATGCTCACCTGCACGATCTGCCGGCCGTGTGAGTGTGGTCAGCATGCTCTCTTCGCAAGCGAGCGGACCTGGGTTCGATCCTCGGGCAGGGTGAAATTATGGGCAAGTTTCTTTACGCCATTTGCCTCTGTCTATCCAGCAGTAATTGGGAACCTGGATGTTAATCGATTTGTGGATCGTGTTCCGGGGTAATGGTTAGCCAGTGCAGTTGGCGAGTTGTCCGGTCTTCTCGAACTATTCCTTGACACTGGGTCATGCAGCTCGTTAACTCAGGGTGTGGTTGTTGTGTAGGCGACAGCTTCTACACCTTAAACAAATTCACGCCTAGGTGGCCCTTGGGCCGGCCATCCTCATTACACGAGGGGCAACCATTATTATTATTACTATTATTATTATTATTATTATTATTATTATTATTATTATTATTATTATTTTTATTATTATTATTACTATTATTATTATTATTATTATTATTATTATTATTATTATTATTATTATTTTTATTATTATTATTATTGTTTTTTTTTAACAGTGCCCACCCGGGCACAGGTCACTGACCCACATCGGGGCCTGGGGGGCGAAAATATGGTAATAATAATAATTATAATAATGATAACAATATTTTTTATTTTTTTAATAACAAATAAAATAATAATAATGACAATACCCATAAATAAATACAAAAGTTAAAAAAAAAATATATCATTAGTGAGAAACGATATTGTACAGTATGTTGTGTTGTCAAAGTAAGAGAGACAGTTGAAACCCAGCAATTGTGTGTAAATGAGGCAGAAAGTCAGATCAGCAACCTGGGACTTGGTCACAATTTTCGTGATGCCATATGGCAGCAGGGTCTACCATTAGACAATACATTATGCTTCTAATATCATCCCAGGCGGTAGTACCTCCCTGTTTGGTAGCTGCCTACTACCTACCAGCTTTCACCTATACACCCTCCTTCGCCTTCCTCCCTCCCTCCCACCCTAACTACCCACGGCTGAAACCCAATCACCTTGGAAAATAATGAACTTAAGGGACTATGGTAACAAGGCGATGTAATGAGTGACGAGTAGTGTGGCAAGTTTATATTCCAACAGTGTGTGTGTTCCTATTATTTATATTTAAAGATTCAACATATCTCTAAATACGATTAAAGGCGTCTATTTACTTCCGAGAGAGAGAGAGAGAGAGTATAACCCGATCTGGTGAGTGAATGTTTGTTTAACCCGCTAACATTGCAGAACAGTTGCAGGATTAGCACCAATGGCGGCTCTGTTGCGATTCGGAGAGGTGTGTGGGCAGGTGATTGTATTTGGGTGTCAGTGAGGGAGTGGGATGGGTGGGGGGAGTGGGCAGGTGATTGTATTTGGGTGTCAGTGAGGGAGTGGGCAGGTGATTGTATTTGGGTGCCAGTGAGGGGATGGAGAGTGGGGTGGGAGGAAGGAGTGGAGTGGATAAGGGTGAAAGGTGTGTGGGTGGAAGGGGAGGAGGGATTTATAAAGGTAGAAAGGTAGGTGGAAGGAAGGAGGGAGGGAGGGTGGGTAGGTTGGTGTGTGGAGAGAGGGGATGGCAGAGGGTGGATGGCTGGGGGGATGGAGGGGGTAAGGTTAGGAGGGGAAATTGATGAGAGAGAGAGAGAGAGGCGGACTACAGTTAGAATTCATAATAACTCTGGCAAATCGTCACAATAATTTCAATATCATCTCCTCGTGCCGCCTGAATATATCAATTATATTATATTTGCACACAACAACACGCCCTCCCACCAACGATACAGTGCAGAGAGTGACCACCAACCCTCAGCTGATAATACAGAAGTGACAACACGAAAAGTAAGGACACAAGTGTTGAGAGGTGACCGATGCAGACCTTGCCAGCCAGACCCCAGCCAGACCCCAGCCAGACCCCAGCCGCATACTCCCGACCAATACCAGGTGAGAAATGAAGACTCCCAGCTCCGCCAGGTGAGAAATGAAGACTCCCAGCTAC